AAAAAAAAAAAAAGTTAATAGCTTGTTGTCATTGACAGGTGGCTGAGCCAGGACCCACAGTATATTTTCTGTGGATTCTTGTCACCCCCATTGTACAGATAAGGAAGCTGAGCCTCCAAAAGGCTGCAGCCTGGCATGATCAAGGTCCCATAGCTAGTTTATGGTGGAGCTGGGACCATTTGATCCAAGTCCAAGGTTTGGTCCTCTGTGGTTATTCATGCCGTAGACTGGTCTTCCTGGGCATGGTATCCCCAGTCCTGTACGCCTTCTCTAGAGGTGCCATGATGTGTGTTGTCTCAGTAACTGGGAGTCTCCTGGCATTTTAAGCCCAGGGATGCTAAACATCCTTCAAGGCTCCGGATAGATCTCCCCAGTGAAGAACTGACTCACCTCAAATTCTAAGTGTGCCCCTGTTGAGAAGCTCCGAAACCGAATGTCATAATTGACTTGAGTGATGTGACATGGGGCCAGCCTGGGAAGCCATGGTCACCTTGCCTGCCCTTGTAAGCAGCCATGCAAGGTGAAGTTGGACAAAACATGGCTGCTGTCCCCAAGGGGCTGGTGGTCTCCTGTCAGCCGCATCACCCGCCTGAGAGGAGATTTCGGGGGACAGAATTTGGACTTTGTCAATAGGCAAACCAAGGTTTGAATCACAGCTGGAGCTCTCTATGCTAAGTGAGCTTTCTTTGGTCTCCTTTTGAGCAAAATAGAGTAAATAATACCATCCTAATCAACTGTGATGAGGATTAGAGAATTTAGCACGGTGTTAGGGGCGGGGGTCAGGCACAGGTAGGCTCTCTGAGTTCAGCAAAGGGCCTGGGTGGACACAGAAGTTTCAGAGAGGAGGCACAGGTGGAGCTAGGCCCTTCCAGGGATTTCAGATTGGAGGGTATGCCAGGCAGGGGAAACAACTTGAGTGAAGGTGGGCAACATTTATTGAAAAGCAAAGGGTAGCTGGGCATGGTGGTTCACGCCTGTAATTCCAGCAATTTGGGAGGCCAAGGCAGATAGATCACCAGAGGCCAGAAGTTCAAGACCAGCCTGGCCAACATAGTGAAACCCCATCTCTACAAAAATACAAAAATTAACCAGGCATGATGGTGGGTGCCTGTAATCCCAGCTACTTGGGAGGCTGAGGCAGGAGAATCACTTGAACCCAGGAGGCGGGGGTTGCAGTGAGCCGAGATTGTGCCACTGCACTCCAGACTGGGTTACAGGGTGACAGAGAGAGACTCTGTCTCAAAAAAAAAAAAAAAAGGGCCCGGCACGGTGGCTCACGCCTGTAATCCCAGCACTTTGGGAGGCCGAGGCGGGCGGATCACAAGGTCAGGAGATCGAGACCATCCTGGAGACCATCCTGGCTAACACAGTGAAACTCTGTCTCTACTAAAAATACAAAAAAAATTAGCTGGGCGTGGTGGCAGGTGCCTGTAGTGCCAGCTACAGGCAGGAGAGTGGCGTGAACCTGGGAGGCGGAGCTTCCAGTTAGCTGAGATAGCACCACT